ATAGCCGTAGGCAAAGTAGACACTGAGGTAGAGTTTACTATAACTGTTATACTCCTTCAAATTCATATCGAAAGCTTTCTCATCCAAAATTCGACTGACGTTGTAGGTTTGGCCATCATGGTCAAAAGTGTGAGAGGAAAATATTGGGAACCTCTTAGCATCATATGCATTGGTCCAATAGGCAATGGGGGTAACAATGTAAAAGATCACAATAAAACCAATCAACATGTTAATGACTGCAACATCAGGATAGGCTAAGGGGCTGGTCAAGAAGGCAGCAATGGTGGACCAATCAAGGGCAAAAGAGCCAATTCCAAGGCCCTTGAGCCCTGAACCAATCTGCTGTGCTGTGACTGAGTCCTTCCAAATCCAGCAAACTAAGGAGAGAGCTGTTATGGAGGGGAAGAAGAAACTTGGGATAATGTAGTAAGCAAAGCTGCTTACGAAAATAATGATGAAGAACTGCATCTTTGTACGGCCTCCTCTGCGTCTCTTTTCCTTTTCATGCAATGCCCTGCCATTAATGCACATTATAAACTAACTAATTAATTAATTAATTTGGTGGTTCACAATTATACACAAGACAAGAAAGAGAAATAAACATGAAGAAAAGAAAACATTGATGAATTATTCTTTTTAATATAAGCGATATTGATGGAGAGGGAATTGAAAACACCGGACCTCATGTGCAGGATGAGTAATTATAATGTAGTACGGTATTACAGACTCAATTAGCTGAAATTGTTTCAATTTGACAAATTAAATTAAAGTACCTGAATAGAGAGACTTGAACCAAATTACCGGGCCACCACATGTAAGGGGAGTCAACAAGGTATCTTCTGAATAATCCAGCCCATCCATATCCAAGCATCTGAAAAGATTCCATACACACAAAAATTTATGTGAGACTGACTGTTTTTGTCACAAACGTAATAATGTTGAGTGACAGAATAATTCAAATAAAAGATGGCAGGTTTTGAAGAAATAAAGACTGGTAATGTAAATGCATGTTATCTTTTTCACTACAGTGTCAGTGCTATCGTGCAGTGAATGACTATCAACCGTTAATGCATTGTGAACCAACTTGCATCAACAACCGGCAAGGCAACCATCCACTTGCTCGTGCGCAGGCAATTGTCCTTAGCATTTCTCCCGAATGTAAATTTTTTACCTGAGTGGTGTGAGCTAACAAGAAGGCTGCCATAACATGAATACTTCTGTGGTAGTAAGCCTTGACAATTGTGATGATGTTGACTGCATAAACACTGTTGGATCCAGAGTTTGCAAATATGGTGATCAAAACGTGCTCCTTCATACTGAAAGGCCCCGGATTGAATGAGAAGGACCATTTTGTGAAGGGGACTGAAAATTGTGTTGTTGGAAGGACCGCAGCCATCAACTTGCCCAGCGGGAGGACCAAAATTTGGGCAGACACTGAAGAAATGAAGAGCTGATTTTGGCGGTACCCAAAAAACTGGTTGACAAAAGCAAGAGTGGTGCATGATAATAGGCCAAGCACCCATGTTCGAAATGTAATGGTTGGCTCTGATGGGTCATCTGTGATTGGAACTGTTAGCCTAACTTGCTCAATTGGGTTGTCGTCCACTTCATCATCTGTTTTTGCATCAACAAATGTTTGACAACATCAGTTAATTAATTGTAGATTTGATTGATAAAGTGTTGAATTTCTGGAAAATAGAAAGCTAAAA